TCAGGACCCTCTAGACAATACCCCCAAAATGGTAAGCTAATTCTTAATGTCGTAAAAACCGGAAATACATCATCATATATTGTTCTGGGAATTCTCCCTCTCATGCTGTTTCATTTTACAATATATTCATTTCGATTTCATCTATAAAGTGCCTAACCCTGTTATACTCAAATTTTATAGAGCTAAGAAAATGGACATACTCGAGAGAAGACACATAACTTATATATGTGGAATACCTCTGATAGAAAAATGTGTGTTTATACATATAAAAGACGATGGTGAAAATCAGCAACCGCCAATCGGCCCAATCCCAGCACAAATGGAGACCTCTGCCCGCAGGGAACAACCGCCACAGCATTATGGTAAAAGTCAGCAACCGCCAGGGTATTCTGATGAGCAAGAAGGCATATTTGTACGGCTTAAAGCTTTACTAGATTCCAGTGCAGCCGCGCCTGTGATTATACTCATTTCGTCTGTTGTTGTGCTACTTCTTGCCTATTGTACCTTCCAATACATCGCGATACAGAATTGCCCGGAGAAATTTCACCGCGAAAATACAGAAGCATCGTTACGGGAACTCGATGAAAAATTGAGCGACGCAAAAGATGAGTTGAAAACGGCTAGACAACAAAACAAAAACCTTAATCAAGAAATCTCTGGAATTACTGCCAATAAAACTGAGCTCACCAAGTATGATTGATTTAGAGTTGCTTTATCATGGCTATTGGAGATTACAAAGTGTTGCACAGGTGCTTTTATGGCACCTACTAATGTAAATCCTGGCGGAAGGGGCGCGGGGTAGTCTACAAAACAGACTAAGGGGCTCACTACATGGACCCAGTGAACTCAATCTATTTACCTGGAACGATAACATTCAGTCATTTGGCCACAGAGTAGAGACATACAGAGATGTAACTGACCGTTGTGAACACTGCGGAAGCTTACATTTTCATGTACCCACTTTTTTTCAGGCGACCGGGCAAAAAATGATCAACTGCGCATGCTCAGCAAGTTTAAAGTGAGTCGTCATCAGGTCGTCATCCAATCAGATGCATGCATCTAATAACTTGCCGAGCATGCGCACAAAAAAAGTGGGTACACTAGTTACGTCTCTGTATGTCTCTACTCTGTGATTTGGCAGTTAAAAAATGAAGCCTCGCGTTAGCAACGTGTGAGCAGTGGCGTCAGCCCTCCATGCCATATAGTATGTCAGTTTCAGTCCCTTTATACGCCATCACCGTGCGGTCTGTTCGCCACGCCATATAGTACGTCAGTTTCAGTCCCCTTATACGCCATCACCGCGCGGTCTATCACGAATCAGCGCACGTCAAGTAGCATTGGCATTGGCTTCACGTTTATCCCACATGTTATCATTCCAGATAAAAGACATGGAGTTCACTGCATGGACCGGGCCAGCTCGGTTAACCGGGCTGAAAAATGTCACGAAATCTTCCTTGGGCCGCAAAATGAGTTTTGAATCAGGTTAGGATGATTTTGCATCTATAATATATAAACCAATTATTTATTGCAAATTTATTTTACGCGAGTTTTAAAACCACAGTAAGGTCCTAAACAAACGAGTCAGCCTGGTTAACCGGGCCAGCCCGGCATCATGTAATCAGCACCTAAGCAGAGGATGACTAAATTGCACGGAACTAAATTATATATAACTAGATATTATAGTACGCTTTTGCTTAAATGTTCCAAACTATCCGTTTGCAAGTGCAAAAGTTCATAATGAAATTGGCAAGCTTATAAACAAAGCATCTGGCAGGATCATTAGAAAAAGGCAAAACAATGACATGGTCTGTGAATGCAATGAATTTGCAAAGGTCATGGAAAAACATACTTATCTCGTTAAGCTTGCAATCAGTATACCGGTAATCAGTACAATAATAAGCCCATGGGCTTACCAGGGGGAGGGAGTTATACTCAGAATGGCCTGAGCATAGCGCCTTACATTCTGGGCTTTACAGTACATTCTAAATCATGCATCATATTTTTCAGGAAACTGAAAGAGACCGAAACTGAACTGAGTTCATTGAAAACAGAGTTGGAGTCAGCGAAAGAGCGAGAAAGTAAATTGCAAGAAGAGAACGAGAATTTCAAGTCTGAAAAGGACATGCTAAGCAAGGATCTAAGTGCAACAAAGTTCACTTTGGGTAATTGTAAGAATAAGAACATGGATCACGAGGTCCGAAGCTTGGAATTGCTTCAAGAGATTGAAGGATTGAAAAAAGAACTAAAAGCATGTTAACTGTTTAATACTATTGAATTTGAATACTATTTGTTAATGTAACTATATAATTGGTTCATCGAAGTATGAACGGTCACGGACAAAAAAATCACATATTCTTATGTTTCATATTCTCTTGAAACTTTCATTGAAACTTGTCAAGAGCGTTTGATTCCATTTAAACTTTTTGCAACGTCCTTTGTCTTTCTTTATACATTTATAATTAGCAACAAAAACAGGGGGAAGTGATTTGCAAAATAGCGAGGAATTTCTGATCTTGCTTGTGATTTCTCAAGCAAGCTTAGTAGAGGTTGACTTGGATCTGATCTGCAAATCATATTTAGCCTCGGACGCTAATTTGCTGAACTAATTGAAACATTCAAATGCTTGCTACTATAATTTTGTGTGATTATAGACAACGTTATTGCTAAAACAGTAAATTAATTTTTATAATTCAGTATATTAATTTTGACACTGTTAATATAAAATAAAGTATTTGTGTGCATATTTGCTAAATTTCAATACAAACAAGAACAAGGCATCTACTCTGACACATGCTAGACATTATGTTGGGAGTAAATTATTGCATCAACAGCCGAACTGCAGAGTTGTGCACTTTTCAACAAGATCTTAGTGGGTGAATGTTAGAAAATCTAAGTGCTGGCAAATGGGGGTGCATCTTTTAAATAGTAGATTGCATTTATTTTCCACACAGGGGGGTTGAGGACATCTTTTTACCAGTTAAATATTATCCACCTGAAATTGAGTTAATATCCCCCTCCCTGGAATTTCTATGATTTCATTGCCAGATACCCCTGTAAAATGTCTATAAACACAGACCCTCCCCTGGATTTTAGTCTTGATCACCCCTGGGATTTCCAAGGTGATTTAATTAATCAACCTCCCCCCTGGATTTCCCAATGTTCTCAACATCCCCCACCCCCCTGTGCAGACATATCTGTCTAAAACACTAAAACCCTGACTAAAACAGACTAACCTTACCCCTCAAAAGCCTCCACTGCATATTTTTTCAGGTAGTTGACCAGTCGACATCTCTTTCAAAGACTCGAACCAAAGGCAGCTCTCTTTGTACTTTTCAGCCTGTCTTGTTAATATCATCATCGCTACCCTGGCACAGAATCACTTCTGTCCATACTGACAACACCTCCAATCCTCCATCCACACAGTTTGTGTATTTTGTCAGACATTTTCAACAAAACAAGTAGAAAATGAACAAATATTTTCATTTAAATTTTCCCGCCCAAAATATTCACCTGATTCCAGTGAACTAAAAATACCTGGAACGCTACCTCCAATAGGTTTGGCTTATGATTAAGCTATATTTTTGTATTAGAAGTGCATTTAAAACATATCTTGAACCCTACCGACTAAAATTGCAAGGACGAAAGTAACCGATTGGAGACAACAAGTGCATATTTGAATGACTGGAACGTTTATATGCAGATGACACTTGAGAAA